CCTGCAGAAGTTGGGCTGGGGTCTTCCGGGGTGGGTCCCCAAACTTATAGGGGTATTCCTCTTGAAGAAAGAGAATCAGCTTTTGTGGGCACTGGGTTGTTGATTTTTGGGGTGCTCGCATCTGGGGGAAGGGAAGGCAGTGCAGGGACTTAATCTGGGGTCTGTGGACAAGTTTAGGGTGTGAGGCAGAGCCCCGGATGTAGGTCTGGCTACTTTAAAGGGAGGGAATGGTCCCAGCCCATCTCACCCCAGACTAGGACCCTGGAAGTTCACAAACCCAACCTGGTGGGGGCTGCAGCCGGCCAGTGGCCAAGTTGTCTATGGCCAGCAGGTGGCGCTCAAACCAAAGCAGTGGAAGGCTGAACCCGGCTCCTCCACAGCCAGCATTCAGGCTGAGGGCCACCTGGAACCTGGGACCTGGGACCCTGAACCTGGCTGGGACATGGCTTGGGGTTCCTCTCCCTCTAGATGCTCCTCTGCCACCAGCCAGAAGGCGGTGCTGGGTGAGGGGTTTCTGGGGTCCTAACAGCTGTGGTCTGTTGGCATCCTGGGTTTGTCCAACTGGAGCCAGGCAGAGATATCTCAGCCCCCAAGGGGCTCCTTGGGATCACAGAGGAGCTTTAAAAAACACACCCCAGCCCAGGCCTCTCTCCCAGAAACTGTCATCAGTCGATTTGGGGTGGACTGGGACTCAGCATTTGTTAGATGCTCTGAGAGCTGAGAATCACTGTGTGTGATACCCATTCATCCTCGCAGGGTGTGGAGGTGATAAAGGATCTTGAGGGCAGATTATCATGGATGGGCAGAGTAATCACAAGGGTTCTTAGAAGAGGTGGAAAGAGGAGGGAGGGGAGCGAATGGAAGACATGATGCTGCTCAATTTGGGGATAGAGGGAGGGGCCGTGAGCCAGGAGAGCAGGTGCCCCTGGAAGCTGGGAGAGGCAAGAGAACGGTTCTCTGCCGAATCTCCGGAGGAACCGGCTTTGCTCCCACCATGACTTTCACCCAGTCTGCCTCCAGGACCTGATGCCGAGTTTGTGTTGTTTTACACCCCTCACATGCGGCCGTTTGTTACAGGAGCAACGGGAACCTGCTCCCCCTGCCCCGAGACAACCAAGTGTCCAGGTGGGTAGCCACCCCTGCGCCGACCACGACACATACTGCCATTTCCTTTCAAAACTGAAACTAAAGCTACCTTTTGACCCCACAATCCCACTCCTGGGCATATATCTGGAGAAAAACAAGATCGGAAAGGATACATGCACCCTAACGTTCATTGCAGCACTGTTTACAGTAGCCAAGACCTAGGTGCAGCGTAAATGTCCACTGACATGGGAATGGATACCGAAGATGTGGTACATATGCATGATGGAATATTACTCAGCCATGTATGCAATGCGATATTACTCAGCAAAATAATGCCACTTGCAGTAACATGGATGGACCTAGAGTTTCTCATACTGAGTGAAATAAGAAAGAGAAAAAGACAAATATGTAACATCACTTACACTTGCGATCTAAAAGAAGAGAACAAATGAACTTACCCACAGAACAGAAATAGAGTTACAAATGTAGAAAACAAGCTAATGGTTACCAGGGAGTAAGGAGGGCAGGGAAGAAATGAATTGGGAGGCTGAGATTTACATATACACATCACTATACATAAAATAGATAACAAAAAGGACCTACTGTATAGCACAGGGAACTCTACTCAATATATTTTAATGGCCTATATGGGAAAATAATCTAAAAAAGAGTGGATATGTGTTTATGTGTAACTGATTCACTTTGCTATACAACAGAAACTAACACGACATTATAAATCAACTCTAATAACTTTTTTAAAAAGAAGGAAAATAAAATTGTGTGTGTGAGCAGGTCATGGTGATTTTGGAAAATCACTTTTAACTCAAGTAGGAAATTCTTCCTTCCCCATCCCAACCCCTACCCTATCCCACTTCAAGTTCTGTGTGCACACGAATCATTGCAGAAGCTGGGGCAATGGATGAGCTAGTGAGAGCAAAAGGCTGGGGGATAGATGGACTTAATCATTCTTTGTGTTAATGGTAGCTAGTTAATTTCGTTCCCGAAGAGACCAGCTTTGACCTTCACCTCCAGCCCCAATTAACTGCCAACAATGCTTTGTCAGCATGTTTACGACAAATTAATCACACAGAGAGGTGAAATCTTGCAGGAAAATTAAGTGCTCAGACTTGGGCTGCAGGTGGGAGCTGAGGTTGAGCCCTGAGATGATTTTGATCACCCGCCGATACAGGCCTGGTTAACCACAGACGCCGGGCAAACTTTGAGGCAAGCACTCAGTTTTTAGCTCACTGCAGAGGGAAGACAATGCCAGAAGCAAGGCGCCAAACCTGATTTCATGCCCCTGACATCCTGGTGGCATGTTTGCCAACTGGTTATCCCAGGCAGAATGATTTGGGGGCCCCAGATCACAGGGGTGGTTGAGATGACTTTGTCCCCTTGTAGACAGAGCCATTCCAGTCCACCAGACAAAACCCTGCCTTCCTTGTAATGAAGCCAACTTCCTTGTTCTCTCTGAATATTTGTGCAGGTCGAGCAGTGCTTGTCCAGAGCTCAGCATCAAGTCCATATTCCTCTCCAGCAGATCTTCCAGTTGTGTTCTCTTTGCATTGGGTTTTTCAGCAACACCCACACTGCTGTGCTGCTCTAAGTAGTCTTGTTCTGAGCATCGTGTCTTTGCTCAGGCTGAGTCCTTGCCTAGAACATCGTTCCCTTCCCAACCCCCTCCTTCTGCCAGGTGCTGAAGAATGAGTTCCAGAGCTATCTCCTTCAAAGCCTCCTGGCCCTGCAGATGGTGTCTGGGGCCCTGTTCTGCACCCCTTTATTCCATGTGGTCATTCCTGCTCAGGACTCACTGCCCAGGCCTGGGCTGCCTCTCCTGCTGGCTGTGAACTGCTCCCCGAGAGCAGGGGCTTGGTCTTCCTGTCTCTGCAGCCCAAAGGTGTGGTACGCAGGAAATGGTCAGTGTGGTGGGAGGCGGGGGTCTGTCTAGCATCTATTGGAGGTTCAAGAGCGAAAAGACAGAGCCTCTGTGCCTAGTGAGTTCACCGGCTGGTGCTGGGGAAGATGCAACTGGCTTCTGAGGTTCTCATCTGTCTTGTTCAGTCACTCAGTCGTGCCTGACTCTTTGCAAGCCCATGGACTGCAGCACATCAGGTTTCCCTGTCCTTCACTCTCTCCAGGAGTTTACCCAAATTCATGCCCATTGAGTCGATGATCTGGGAGTTTACCCTTTTCTGGTAACATTAGGGACTGACCCATCCCTAGCCTTCAAGATCAAGGTGGGAAGGTTCTAGGAAGGTGAGTTGGTAAAACCATCAGGGGGCCACGATGGGTCTTGAGGAAGTCAAGTCTTACATGAAGAGCAGAATGGGTGGTTCTGATGTTCGATGGACCCAGGAAGACGTCCCCTGGCAGGCTGCTCCTGGCGACCAGAGGCCCTGTCTGTTGAGTCCTGTCCCCAAGGCCACAGAAGCGGAGCCCAGAACCAAGGTCACCTCAGAAGCTGACTGAGCCCCTTTGTAACTTTGCGAAAAGCCCCCAATCATCATTAACAAGTTTTCTGACTCTCAGCTAGGCAAAGATGCCCACTCCAGTAAATACCCTATAGTATCCCACGCAATCACCTGGTGAAAACCATCCAGCAGGAATTCTCTTTGTCTTGAGGCTACAAAAATCGGCTATTAACCCACAAAAACTGTTAGCTGTTAGCTCTCCCTGGCCTGTCGGGAGTTGTCGGCCCACTGCACTTGCAGCGGCCACTTTATCTCTGCTTTTTGTTCAAAATAGGGCTCAGCTGGTAAAGAATCCGCCAGCAATGCAGGAGACCCCGGTTCAATTCCTGGGTTGGGAAGATCCTCTGGGGAAAGGATACGCTACCCACTGCAATATTCTTTGGCTTCCTTTGTGGCTTAGCTGGTAAAGAATCTGCCTGCAATGTAGGAGACCTGGATTCGATCCCTGGGTTGGGAAGATACCCCGGAGAAGGCAACAGCTACTCTTCTCAGCAGCTGAAGGAGGTCCCACGGGGTGGGAAGCCAGCACCATCCAGGCAAGTCCATTTTTTTTTCCCTACTGCTGCCACACGACTTTATCTGTGAAACCCCAGGCACAGCCCACACACACACAGTACACGGGAAAAGCACTGTGTATCACAGGGCGCCTCCTGCCCAGCCCAGCCCACCCCCCACCGCTGGTCCTCAGGCATGATCGGACCCTGTCCCTGCCCTCCGCGGCTGGACATCCAGCTTTGTCCTGCCCAGATGCCCCCTCCAGCATGGCTCGCAGACATCTCAGCAGCCAGAGGGGGCCCATGGGGTGCGGAGCCAGCACTGTCCAGGCCAAGTCCAGCTTCCAGACCCTAGTGTCTGCCCCCTGGCTTCTCTTCCTGTCCACACGCTGTGGGTGCCAGTCGTAGCCCCACCTCGTGGCCCCAAGCAGAGCAGTCTCTGCTCATCAGGCTGAGGGGTCACACAGCGGGGATGGATGGTAGGGGCAGGGGTGGCCGGAGGAACTGGGCCTGGTGACAGGAAGCAGAGCAGCCATCGAGCCAGCAGCCCCAGCCAGGGCAGGACAAACCCGGCTACAACACAGGGAGGGGACGGCACTCGGACAGCAGCTGCTCAGGCCTGTCGGGACTTGACGGCCCACTGTGATCACAGTGCCCACTTTATTTCTGCTCTCTGTTCTTAATAGACAGTACTTTCTGCAGTACTCTGTGTCTGGAAATTCTATTCCAAGTTGCACTTGGACTGCCGCGACACCGCCTTCGCCCCACGTCAGGTCCAGTCCAAATGCTGACCCACACTGGTCATGTGTCCGGAGGCGAGAAGGTAAAAAGTGACATTTATGGCAGCAGAGAGCTCACCCACCCCCAGGCTCTTTCTGTGTGAGTCTGCCTGCAGGCTGTTTGCTCTGAGTCCCACCCTCCGGGGACACCGGCTCTGCGGTTCCATCACTCAGCAGGTGTCTTCTGTGCTTTCGGAGTCATGCCTCTCAAGGGTCATAGCTGCCAGCTCTTCTGAGATGAGCGTCTCAGTGCTGGCGGGGTCGGCCTGACTGCCAACAGGAGGGACCTTGCTTCTGGACAGTGCGTCTCGGTGGGGAGGCTCTGGGGAAGAGAGGGGACCCCAGGAACATGTCAGCCACCTCCCCATGAACAACTGAACAACTGAGGTGACTTGGTCCAAGGGTGCTGAAGCCGCTGCCTGGGGTGCAGGCTTCATGGGTGGATGACCTCATGTCCCCATCTGCGAAGCCCCATCCTTTCTCCCCCAGACCAGTGCTCCCACTTCCTCCGCCCCCTTTGATTCCAGATTATCTTTGGTCAGACTTTTAAATTGTGCCCCACTTCATGTTGCCCCCTGCTCCAGCCCCCCAGGCCTTCCCAGCTCACTTCAGATATGACCCAGACCTTTTTCCTGGGCTTCCCAGCAGGGAGAGATCCAGCCTTGCCCATTGGATCACATCCCTCTGCTCCCTGGGCTCATGTGTGTGGTTCTGGATCTTCCCATCTCAGGGCCTTTGCACTTGTTGTTCCCTCTACCTGCAGCACTCTTCCCACATCTGTGCTTGTCCGGTTCCTCCCTTCCTGCAGGCCTGGGCTCAGATGCCACCTCATCCTGAGGTCCTCTGTCGGCCTGGCTAAGGCACATCTACTAGGTCACACCGCTGCCTACCTGCCGCCTCCCCTTTTATAGTTCTTCTTAGTGCCAGTCTCAAAAGGCTAGTGTCTAGTCACTACTGGACTCTGATCTCATGAATGGGGTGTATTTGTCTCTGTGCTCTTAGCTGTATCTCCAGGGATGGGAGGGTTTGAGTGCAGGAGTGGGGCCAAAGTGGGAGAATGAATGAATGAACGACTTCTTCCTAACTATTGAAGACGTGGAAGAAGCATAAGGTGGCTACAGCATTATTGGTGGGGAAGAATTAGTGAGCTGGGTTTCTAAGAACAGAGGAGGGATCGTGTTCCAGAAGGTTCCAAGGCAACCCAGCCTCATGGTATGTGGCTAGGGTGGTCACACAGGCCCTGTAGATGGGCCTGTGTTCAGCTTACTGTCTCCTGCCTTTGTCTTGAAATTCTTTCTAAGTTTCGAACAAGGAGCCTTGCTTTTTCTTGTCGCACTGGGCCCCACAAATATGTCACTGGTCTGGTCCAGGTGTCGCAGCAGTGAATGGGGTGTATCCAATCCTCCCCACAGCCCAGGGGCCATGGGCTCCTCTAGCCCTCAACTTATAGATGGGAAAGCAGAGTATGGGTTAGGTGGATCTACTTCTGCCATGCCTCTCCTGCCTCCCAGACTCCAGGAAACGGGAGATACATGACTGTTGCGTGAATGAGAGAGAGACATGGGGGCCCTGCCCTGCCCCCAACCCTGCCCCAGGCTCACCTACGTCCCCTCCGGGCTCCCTATGCTTTTTGACTCCCTTGACATCAGCTGCCCCTGGGTGGACCATCATCCTGTTGCTGTTGCCGACGGTGGTGTCCTCGAGGAAGCAGGAGCGAATGTGGACTTTCTGGGACGTGACCCCTTCAGACTGAGGTCCTGGTTCAGGGATTTGAATTTCGATGGAAGCTTCTGGGCTGGTACCCAGGACAGAGGCTGCAGGTCGGTCATAGAAAGGGATTTGGGGAGGGGGGTGTGAGCAGCTGGACAGCAGGCCTGACCTCCAACCTGGCTCCCAGGTCCTCTATGGCTGACCGTCCTCCTGGAACCTCCCTGCAGTGGTCCATGCCGTGCTCTATCGTTGGCAGACACGTGGCCTCTCTGCATGTTCCTTTCACGTGCCTGGGCTGCCAGCTCTCTCAGGCCCTGGGTCTGCCAGCTTGAGTTCCCCTCCTCCTGCTGCCCATCCCCGCTGACCTGGTCCTCTGTGCCTCCCCAGGGACTCAACCACTGCCCCCGCGGACCCCTGCTCCCTGTCTCTCTGCTGCCTGCCTTCTGGCAGCTCTGGAACACCATCTCCATCTTCAGTTAGAATCTTCACGTGGCCCCGGTCCAGTCCCCATCTCCTGCCATCTTGCTCCTGCCTCCCCTGCCAAACTTCAGAAGAGAGCTGTCCACACTCCGTCTCACCTCCTTCCACTGCCCTCGCTCCTTCTGTCCCCTCAGGTCACCGCAGACCCCTTGCTGCCAGACCCCGTGACCCTCCCTTGATCTCACAGCCTCTTCTCTTCTGGAAACTTGTACCCTGGCATCCCCAGGGCTCCTCCTCTCCCAGGCCTCTCTGCTGCATCTCCTCCAGCCTGTCTCTGGATGCCCAGTGCCAGGGAGGACATCACCTCAGCCCTCTGGTAAACAGCACCTATGTGGCTCCTTAGATGCCTTTCCAGTCCAGCCATCTCCTTTGTCTCTGCTTCATCTGACCCAGGAAATGATCCTTGCCCATTGTAGAGATGAGGACATCGAGGTTTCCTAGGTGGGTAGTAGGAATGGGAACCCTCCTGCTAACTCTGCCAGACCCCCTTGCTCTACTCTGTGGACAGCCTCCTGGTGGGATGGAAAGAATTTCCCATCATGCCTCTCTCCCCACAAGGACTGGCTCAAGTCCCATGTATTAAGGAGGCCAGATGGGGTGGGGTGGGGGCAGGATGGCGGCCTACTGTCCTGTTACCTGGGGGACTGTCACAGGAGCCGTGGGCAGAGCCTTTGGCTGGGTTGCTGTGAAGTCTCATCTCATTGCCGTGTCCCATCTGAACTCGCCTGAGCACAGACTTCTCCATCCGGATGTCCTGGGGCCCCCAGGATCCAGCCAGGGAATCCAGAGTTGAGGGATCAGCAGGAGCCATTGGAGAGAGGCAGCAGGGAGCCGTGGAGCCTGGTAGAGGACATGGAAACATGACCCTTAACCCCCAACCTCTGATACTGCTCTTCCCACCCCCTCCCCACCATGCACACAGATAAATCCTAGCCAGACAGAGGAGACAGGACTCTGAATTCTTTCTGGACACCAGCAGACTGGGAGTGACTACTTTAGGCTCTGGATTGAAGAGCAGGAGAATTGGCAGAACAATTAGCGTGGGTTTCCAGGGTTTTATAACTGGGATGCCCGGGGTGTCAATGGGGCATTGCAGACCCAAACACTGAGCATGCCCTCTGTTTCCCAGCCATTCTCACCCCTCTGGGCCCATTGGGAAAAAGTCTCCTTGGGGGTTAACTTGGTGTTGACACAGAGCTCTCCGAGACTCTGGCATTGTTTTATTTTCTCAGCATTTCTTTTCATGGTGACCTTTGCGATTTTCAAGGTAATGCTGTAAAAGTTTACTTTAAAATGAATTTGAGTAGAATAAAAGGTAAACCATTTAGCAACACTGAGTAAACAGTCAGCCAGGGACTCGGCCAAAATTATGGAGGTGGAGCTCAGAGGACTGAAGGTGGGGAAAGGTTGATTTAGATTCTAGAACAAAGTTCCTCCTTTCACAGTTAGGGAAACTGTGGCCCAGAGCGGGGTAGGGCTGTCTCGAGGTCACAGGGGGTGTCCCAAATTTGGGGTCAATGCTTTCACTCATGTCCCATAGCTGGACTGAGAGGTGGCCCTGTCCCCTCTCCCCACAGTGCCTGGCATGGAGGAGGCACTCACTTGCTTCCTGTTATTTCATCAAAGCTAGGATGCACCCAGTAAGAGGGATCCCAGTTTACGAAATGTTAACATGAGGGAAGAAGTAATGTCTTGGAACAAACACAATGTTACAATGACACCTTGTGACATCTTAGTGAGAGAGAATGAATGAAGTTGTTTCTTGTAGAAAATGTGGCAAAAGATGGCAGGGGTGGGTAAAAGGAATGCAGAAGGGGTTTGATCCAGGCACAAGGAGAGACAGCCTCATTCTTGGGAAAGCCAGAAAGGACCTTGGAAATGTGATAGCTGCCCATTCTCCCTGGAGAAATGTCCCCCTGCCCCCACTCTTTACCCCACCCAGATGGACAGGTCCCCTCTCCTAGGCATCTCAGAGGACTCACCGTTTTCCCCAGAGCCCATTTGTCTCACTAGGAGATTCCCGTGTCCAATCTGGATATCTTCACAGTGCTGGATGGAAATGTGGCTGTTTGGTCCCTTCTGACAGATCATGTTGACTGGATTTTGCTGGTAAATAACTGGGGTGGACTGATTTCTAGAGCCTTCTGCAAAATAATATTCCACTCAGTCCCTTTGTGCCTCTCAAAGGGTTGGAAGTTCCAAATACTTGTCCACAGCACCAGACTCTCCTGGGGTGGGGGTGGGGGCTGGTTAAAACACGAATTCCTGGGGGCCCACCCTGGGGTTCTGAGTCAGTAGGCCCAGGAGGCCCCCAGGAGCCGGAGTGTTTACCAAATGCTGCAGGTAAACTTGTACTTTGTCCTGCAGGCCACCCTACCCGTGTGTCCTCTGCCACTGAGGGGAGGCGGCAGGTACCTCACTGTTTGCACCCTCTGCCCCCTCCCACTGCGAGGAAACCACAGCCTTAACCCCTGCTTTCCTTTAGGGACCTTTCCTCTCTCCTTTTAGGGAGCTGTCCACGGGCTGCCCCTAACCATGGGAAAAGCTTTGTCTGGCTCACAAGGCATTTTAAAGAACCTGGAGTAGTGACCACTGTTTAGCGTCCAGCATTTAAGATGCTGAGGCCCTCCTTTGGTGCCATAAGCAGGGGTATCAGCTCCACATGGGCTCCACACAAAGGGCCACATTCCCAACTTCGTGGGCCCTTGGCTCTTGTGTCTTTGTGAGCCCCCAACTCCATAAGAACTATTTAAAATGGCATTTTATGACTGTGTTGGGATAAAGACAAATATAATCTCAGCTGAAATAATTATTAGCTATTCATTCTTACTATGATATCCATTTTTTTCTTCCAATTTAAAGAGAAATTGGAGCATTTGGTGACCCCCTAAAAGTACTGGAGGCTCTAGGCCTTGGGCCTGCTGTTTATAATGCCTGAGTCAGTTCTGGGACTCCACCTGTGGGTATGTAAGCCCAGCCTAGCTGACTCCTTCAGCAACTTTACAACTCCAAGTTGGGCAAAGTGCTTACAGAAAACTGCTAGCAAACTCAGATTGAGACCTGTGTCCCAGGGCTGATGCAGTCAGGGATGGACCCCACCTCCAGGAAGCCCTCCCTGGTTACTCCCACCAGCATTCCCCTCCCTCCTGGAATCCCCTGTTAGGGACAGGTCAGCAAGACTCCAGCTTCTGACAAGGTGGGGCAGCCAGAGTACTTAGTAGGAGCCCAGCAAGGACCAGGGCTTGAGTGTTACAATTTCTCTTCACAGCTCTGCCCTCTGCCCTGTCCAGAGTAAGGGCCTACCCGATCGATAAATTGTCCAAGAATTTGATTTCTGGTCAAAGTCCAGGAGGTGCTTGTCCCTCATCGCGTACAAGTCTGGGTTGACTTCCTTTGCTGTCTTCATCCCCAGGGCCTTGGCGATCATCAGGGCTTTATGGGGCCCGTGGGTTTCCAAAAACTGGTAGATCTCTTCCTCTGGGAGGCGAGAGGCCAGTGGTTAAACAGGACCCTGGAGGGCTGGGTCTGCTCCCCTGCTTACCGGCCCCTGTGCCCATCTTCCTCATCTGTGAAATGGGCACATTAATAATACTGCGCCACAGTGGTTGTTCTGGGAGTTGGGAATTCTCATCAGGGGCTCCGAACAGTGCCTGCCCACGCTAGGTGCACAGCAAATGCTAGCCATTAATCAGACAAGTGATTTCTCAGTCCTTTAGCCTCTTTCCCCAAGAGACAAAGCCTTGCCTCTGAACACTGTGTGTAGTGTGGGGACCTTTCAGTGGGTGGGGTGGTTGTCCCTGGACACGTGTAGCTTCCTAAGTGACCGTGAGAGTCTGGGGGCAGAGGGAACCGGTGCTGAATGAAACCAGGATGCTTACGCTGTCCACTGAGCTCGGGGCCAGGCTTCTTCGGAATTGCAACTGCGTCTTGCTGGGGCCTCTCTGCTGGAGAAAGAAAGATGGTCAGGGGGTGAAGGGACAGGAGAGGGGACGTGGATTCTACCTGACAAAGGCGGGCTGCTTTGTAGAGGCCCCAGCACACAGATCTCCAAATTCGGATTCTAGAGTTAAAGGAATTTAGCTTCAAATCCTGCCCCACACACTTCTGGGCTTCCCTGGTGGCTAAGACTGTAAATTTGGGAGACCTAGGTTCAGTCCCTAGGTTGGGAAGATCCCCTCGAGAAGGGAACAGCTACCCACTCCAGTATTTTTGCCTGGAGAATTCCATGGACAGGGGAGCCTGGTGGGCTACAGTCCATGGTGTCGCAAAGAGTCGGACATGACTGAGTGACTAACACTTTCACTTTTGGCCCCCCTCCCCCAACCCTGGTCCTGCAATGGCTTTTTGTAAGTACTTGACACATGTCAGCTATTTAGGTCCATGGGCTGCAGAACCAGAGAAGTGGATCTTGTGCGATGCTAAGGCTGTTCTATTATGATTGTATCATTGGCACTGTCATAATCATCATTAAAGTTTTGCTGAGCATCTACTATGTGCTAGCATGGGCTTAGCCCTTTGCACCAAATCCTCTTGCCTCCATTGGCCAGAGAAAGAAAGCAGGATGCAGTCAGAAGACGGCATGCACGCTCAAGGGCAGAGCCTGCACTTGAACACAGGTCCAAACCTGGGCTTGGCCGCTGCCAGGACGGCTCATGCTGGGTCCTGCACCCCCACCTTCCCCACCCGTGGTGACAGGTTACCCCGCCCTGCGGGAACCACTTCTTTGGTCCCGCTGTCGCCCAAGCACCACGTCGCAGGGCCTGCGAGCATGACTCCTTTAGACTCCTCTTTCATCTTGTGGAGAACCTGGTTGAGCTTCTTCTTGGGCACTTGACATTTCTTTAACAGCTGGGCGGTCTTCACAGGGGAGCCAGCATCCCTCAGCACCTCCAGAATCTTCTGCTCAAGGTCTGGGAGAGGGAGACAGGGGCAGAGGCAGAACTGAGGTACCCACGACCCAGCCTGGGCCAGCGGGCTCCCCCAGAGAGGGGTCCAGGGCAGCGGGAGGAGAAGAGGTGAAAGCAGACATCCACGAGTGTCTCTGTTCAGGGAGGGGTGCATGGGCTGCTCAGAAATGACCTGGGCTGGACAGCCTGGTGGGCAGAAGAGCTGCCAGGCCTTCCGAGTGTCCCCCACCTGTGTGAGCACTGGAGGACAGGTGGGACCAGTCAGCTCTCGGGTGTCCTCAGAGCAGAGGAGGCGGCAGGATGCAGGAGGGAAGGGAAGAGCAGAGGAGTGGGGGGAGTGAGGCCTGTCCCTGGTGCTCTCCATCCCCCACCCACCCCTCCCTGTGGAGTCTGCTCCTGGGGCTCACTGTCCACAGGGGCAATGTCACTGTTCATCCCCGCCAGAAACCCAGCAGGCCTTCAGAAACGGAGGTTTCACCCTGATGCCCAAACACGGAGTCCTGGTGGTACTGCTCCAGACTCTCTCAACCCCTTCTTCTTTTCTCTGCCTCCACTCCCCACTCCTTGTCAGCATCCCCTCGATGACACTAGTTCCACCAGTTCCAGGTTCCCTCCAGTCCACCTTCCCCTTTGCCAGCGGAACAGGTTCTGCCAGCCTCACTTTTACCCACCCTCAACTGCCCTTCAGGTGCCAACCTGTTTGAATTCCTTTCAGCCGTGCTCACCTCCGGGCCTTTGCACATGCCATTCCCTTTTTCAGGTGAGCTCTTCCCCCGTTCCACCTGTCCAGTGTCAGTTCTCACTCGGACTCCAATGCTGGGAGGCCGTCCTGAGTGTCCTGAGCAGGTGGGAAGTTGGTCCTGTGTGGGTCCCCTGCAGAGTGTCCCCAGGGATTCCCTGCTGTGATTGACAGGTTCACTGTAGTGGTCCTGTGTCTAGCCGTGGGCCAGGCATGCAGTAGGGTCTCAGGAAATACTAACAGCATTTGAATGGAGGAGGGACTGGATGAAAGAATGAGTGTCCACTACTGGGTAGGTGTCTGCTCAGATGACCTGGGCAGGGGATGGGCACTCCTCCAAGGCCTCTGTTTCCACCTCCCCTCTGCCAGAATTAATGATCCTAAGCAGGATGCCTCAAGGCTCAAGGAGGAACTTTCCAAGTGGCCCCTACTCCTCCCAGGCAGGTTCCCATAAACCCAAGCCAGCTGCCCTGTGGGGAGTGAGAGAACTGGTGGATGCAGAGCCAGCAGTGCATGGAGCTGGGAGGGAAAGTGTCTGCCCCCCAGGACCCCGTGGGAATGCAAAGCAGGGCCTTTCTTGGGAAGACCAGGTTACCCTTCCAGGGCAGCAGCCCAACCCTTTGACTTCTGGGTTCTTCCTGGGTTCCGAGTGGGCAGCACTAGGGAATGACCTGTTTACCAGCTCTGCGCTGGGCACTGTGGCCTTCTCTTGTGGGTGGAATGTTTGCATCCTTCTGGGGGCAGGTGATATGCGTTATAACCCCTGGGGTCACCCAACCCTTCACTCACTAAACACTATCCTGAAACTGTCATACCCATTCAACACACTGATGCTTTGCCTAGCCTTGAAAAGGTTTTGATTCCCGAAAAACCTGTTCCTGGGTGAGCCTCTCTCTCTTCCTTCTCCTGCTGTCCCCTGACCCCAAAGAGGAAATGAGGTCCGTGCAGTGAAGGCTGGGCTGGCCTCACCCACTGAGTCTTCTGGCTGGTGAACCAGAAATTGCAAAATGGGATGAGGTGTAAATGATACATCAGTTAAAAGGAAAACCCACTGGGGAACAAGTTAAATTCAGTTACCCAGCGCCCCTGATGTGTCTGCTTGGGAAAGTACAACAGGAACCTGGGAACCGACCAGCCTGGGATCCTGGGCCTCCCCCAGTTAACCACACCTGCCCCCCCCGACACAGAGTATTTTCCTGGGTTTGAGCCAAATCTCTGCCACCTATCAGCTGTGTGACCTGTCTGGGACTCCATTTCCCCATCTTTGAAATGGTGATATTCATGACTACTTCAGATCGTGGTGAGGTTCAGATAGTTACGGATCACAGAACAAAGACAGACAAAAACGTCTCAGCCCCCAGCCCACACGCTTTCAGTGGGGACCCTAGAAAACAGCTCTGTTCAGTATCAGTTAAGTTTCTTTCTTGTTACGGTGGTGCCTTCAGATATTAGCCTATTGCGGTTGTCATCTGAACCAAGAAAAGGAACTAGAAGAAAAGTTAAGTCCCAGCCAGGCACTCCCATGGGTCCTTAGAAGGAAATAAGTACCTGTGTCTCCCGGGTCGGCAGGGACCTCAGCCATGCTGACAGCAGCTGCAGGAAGCCTGGGAGACTTGGAGTCAGCAGCAGGCTCTGACCCTGGGGCCTGCAGAAGGTGGGTCCCGTCAAGGCTGGGTGTACTCTTGTGGGCCAGGCTGGTGCTTCTAGCAGCTGTGAAGACACTCCAGCTTCATCCGGACAACTGTCAGCTGTCAGCTGTTCACACTCCGGAAATGGGGCCCTAGGCAGTCTCTGGAGAAAACGAAAATGAAACTTCCTTGTGTGGTTTTTGAGAGAAACAAAATCGAAAGCTGAATTGAGCAAGACACCGGCCTTCCACTAGATATTGGTAGGGAGCTGCTGAGATGGAGGAGACCAGAGCTCCTTCTGGGGCTGGGGGGTTTCCCACTGCTGTCTACCCTGACTCCCCCAGCCACAGGCCAAGATATCCGGGTGGGTGGGTGGTTGAGTGCCTGTGATCATCAAAACCACGTATGTGTGTGCATAGCAAACCGATGACAGTGTTGATGTATGGCAGAGACCACGACATTGAAAAGCAATTATCCTCCAATTAAAAAAAAAAAGGAGGACTCTCTTTAATGAGTACCTACTATGTGCTTTCCAATCTCATATGCCCCTGACTCATCTACAGGCTAGGGTCTAGTTAAGGTCTCTTTTCTCAGTAAACTGGGGCTTGGATCAATGAGGTCTTGTCCAAGGTCACAGAGATGCCTCAGGTTCTAACTCAGCCCCACCATTTACTGGCTGTGGGATCTTGGGCAGGTTATTTTACCTATTTATGTCTTAGTTTTCTCATCTATGAGATGGGCTAATAAAAGGAGTGACCTCAAGAGGTGGTGGCGAGGACTAAAAGGGTTAATTCAGGCACCTCTACAGCTATGAACACAGTTGCACACCCACTGACCTGGTTCTGGGAAAAGGACGCATCGCTTCTGAAAATTCTTACAGGGGCCGTTGACCTCCCCAAACAGTTCAGAGACACTGCTCAGTCCAGGTGACAGAAGGGAAAACTGAGGCCCACAGAGGTGAAGGGCTTTGTGTGAGGCAGCCCAGAGGGTCAAAGGCTCAGGGTCTCAGCTGAGGTCAAGGAGTGGGTGCCAGTCCCGGGCTCCCAGGGGGACACTATCCCCAGCATTTCTACAAAGGGAGGCACTTGGGAACAAGTACCACCATGGAAGGGCCCCGAAGGTTTATCTTAAAGCTGTCTTTGTGTCCCCGGGTCCAAGTTCTCCTGGCTCACTGCACAACAGTGACGCCAATGGATCAGAGACGAGGTGTTGAGGCAAGAAATACAACTTTATTTGGAGAGCCAGCTGACCAAGAAGATGACATACCATTGTCTTAAAATAACCATCTTATGGGGTCTGGATGCCAGGTTCTTTCACAGATCAGAGGTGGAGGGAGATGAGGAAACAAAGCAAAAAGGCCATTAGTCTTGCAAACATCTCCTAGAATGGCAAGCCTCAGGCAGGGGATGTGTTCATTTCTTCCTTCCTGCCATCTACAGGTGGACAGGGTTCTGAACAAAGGCACTTGAGTTTAACAGTCAGACTGGGGGCAGGATTCTCTGAGGCAGGCCATTATGTGTGATTATAATAACAAAAGCAACAGAGAGCAAATTAAAGAAAGAGTTCCAACCTGGAGCCAGAATTAGTTTATCCCTGCAACATTTGCAGAGCAAGCAGGAAAAATCCCGATGCCCTGTCCACTCTCAGACCAATTAAGTCCCCATCGTGGGAGGCAGAGCTAAGAGTCCTAGAGGACTTCACTTGAACCAGAGGTGAAGTGTTGGACAACTCAATAAAAACAGGAAGCCGCAATGATGCTTCTGCTCCTTTTTAATGTAAAAAGAAGAATCGTGTGTCTCTATGTGCGTTGACAACGTTAATTTTAAATGAGGGTTAATTGGGTGTATTTGGAGAGATTGTCAGGTGTCTTCTGGGCTCAGGCTCAGGCTGGCTGACTGTGGGCGGCTGGGAGGCGCCACGCGGGGACTGGCCACTAGGTGGCGCCCGCTCACCAACCTGAGTCCTGGCCCCCTTTGCCCAGTTCCTCTGATTTAGCGGGGGCGGCTCTCGCCCGTACCCCATTCTAGGATAACCCCAACTCCATCTGACCATATTCTGGCTTCTCAGCCATATTGACCTTAGTGTGGACACTCCGACTTGGGCCTAGACCTGGGTGCTTGGTGGGTTTGCAGGTCACACTAGAGTCTGATCTGAGGGTCAACTGCTTCTGGTCCGTGTCTGTATGCACATGTGTCCCCACCACCCACCTCTGAGCTGCAACCCTTCTTCTCCCTAGCAGTGTGTCACTGACTCTCTGAGCCTTGGTTTAATTATAAAACAGAAATAACAGATAAGAACAAGCATGTTTATCTGACACTTAGTAGGTGTTTACAAAATTTGCATTATTTAGAAAACGGCATGTGATTGATAGAGCTCCATAACTTTAGACACTGTGCTGTGCTTAATTGCTCAGTCGTGTTGCAACCCAATAGACTGTAGGCTGCCAGGCTTCTCTGTCCATTGAATTCTCCAGGCAAGAATACTGGCGAGAGTTGCCACGCCCTCCTCCAGGGGATCTTCCCAACCCAGGGATCCAACCCAAGGTCTCCAGCACTGCAGGTGGATTCTTTACTGTCTGAGCCGCCAGGAAAGCCCAAGGATACTGGAGTGGTTGGCCTATCCCTTCTCCAGGGGATCTTTCTGACCCCGGAATTGAACCGGGGTCTCCTGCATTGAAGGCAGATTCTTTATGAGCTTAGATGCCAGGAAAGCCCAAGTTTAGACACTAGGCCAAAAAAAAAAAAAAAAAAAGCAAGTGAGAAAGAGGAAGGAAAAAAACAATTTAATGTGGGTGGGTTCCACCTTCCTTAGCGTTCCGTGGTACACCTGGATTCATGGGAACCATGAACCTGCTGTGAACATCTTACCACATTGAATGGGATTCTTACTTTTAAAGTTATAATTAGCTTACATTTCTTCTCCTCTACTTAAGGTAGAGGAGACTTTCAAGGTAATTTTGACTATAAGGATAGTCTTTCACTGAAATATCAGTGACTTACACTATACAGAAACTTCTTTCTTTCTCCTATAACAGTCTGGTAGGTAGCCCAACACCATAGTGTTGGGACCCAGGCCCCTTCTATTTTGTTGCTCTGCCATTTGTGGGCTTTATGTTCTAAGATGGCTGCTCAAGCTCCAGCCATTGCAACTCCATTCCTTACAGGAGGAAGGAAGCAAGAGAAGAAGAATAAGTATCTCTCCTTTAAGAACACTCATGAGTTGCACAGACATTCCCCTGACATCCCTCAGTCTCAGAGCCCAGAAGGGAGGCTGGGAAAGAAGGTCTTTATTCTGGGTCACCATGCTACCTAGCTAAAATTGGGGGATTGATTAACTTCCAAATAGGGGATAAGATATTGGAAGATACTTAGCTGTCCCTGCCATTTTGAAGTTGTTTTCACCCCCAAGAAAGGAGCAGGGAAACCTCCTCTATGCTTTGAAGTATATCTGTTCAGTGGAGCTTCTGTATTGAGCAGGTCTGAGGCCGAGTTCACAGGTAGTTCCCACATTCTCAGAGACTTCTGTCCAGTGTGGAAGATAAAAGGGGAGAGGATGCTAGGGGCTCCCTACTTTCCCTGGGAAGGAGCCCAAAGGCCACAGGAATTTCAAAATGGCGTCACTGCCTACTAGAGCCCAGGTCTTTTTTTGCCTTGAAAAGCACACGCCTTTTTCATTGCTTGTGTTTTTCTGGAAACTATTAGAACTCTCCGCCCCAACCAGATGATAATTACATGTTACTGATCTTGAGTCTTTAAATTTCTCTCTCTTTCTCCCTTTTAAAAGAGAGATATTTTTGCTGCACATTGTGTTGGCAAAACCCAGTCTCCTTTCTACCAGGCAGCCTGAATGTTATGATCATGGTTCCTCTGTGAATTCACCTCAGGGGGAGGGAGTGGAAAGGTCTGAAGGCACCAAGGGGGGACAATAATTATTGCCTTTGTCCAGGGGCAAATGTCAGAGAACCAGAGGTGGCCAGAGGGAGACAGAGATTACACAAGATCTCAAGAGCTATGGTAGAAAAAAAGATGAAAACTATGGCGAGGAACAAAGATCAGACCAGGGGCTACGGGAGGCAGTAGGTTCTCTGTGCAGCTTCCAAAGGTTCTGCCCCTAAAGGCATCTTCCCCAGGCTCCATTCACTGCCCTTCAAGGAACAGGTCAGGGAGGCTCCTTGGGCCATCACTGTCTCCTGGAGTTGGACAGACTTGGGCTTCTGATCTGGGGTTCTGAGCTCGTGTCTCTGTGCCTTGAACCCCTTACTACTTTTCTGAGACTCGATTTCTCCCTTGGAGAAAGGGGATCGTAGCAGCTGTGCCAGGGGTCTTTGCAAGCTTCCCTGAGATGGTGCTCTGGAAGGTCCCAGCAGAGCACTAGGGGCAAAGTGTGTGCTCCATGAGCAGGCACTGTTGTGTCTTCATAATGTGACCCCCATCTGTCCCTCTCTGAGTGACAAAGCCGTCCCATTCACTCATCTGGTTTTGCACCAAGCAATTCCTTGGGCCTCCTTTATCCCAGACTACGTGCTGGGTGCTGGAGCCGGTGGGGAGTGGGGGGTGAAAGTGAGTCCTCCCCTTGCTGCTTCCTGGTTCCATTTCCCATTTCGACTGCAGAAAAAGCCAGTCTTCTCAGTTGAGGCATTGATGGGTGACTCAGGCCAAGTCCTGATTCCCCACCACTCCTGGAAGTGTTGGCTGGTAAGAGGAGTTGAGCAGCGCAGTTCAGTTCAGTTCAGTCGCTCAGTTATGTCCGACTCTTTGTGACCTCATGGGATGCAGCACGCCAGGCCTCCCTGTCCACTCCTGTCCCAGAGTTTACTCAAACCCATGTCCATTGAGTTGGTGATGCCATCCAACCATCTCATCCTCTGTTGTCCTCTTCTCCTCCGGCCTTCAATCTTTCCCAGCATCAGGGGCTTTTCAAATGAGTCAGTTCTTCGCATCAGGTGGTCAAAGTA